TAAAATCATCTATTCATTACATCTACAAACAGCAGCGGGAGAATATTCATCCACGTAGCTGACTCTGCCGAATCCAGAAATGAACACAACTGAGGCAGTACAACTGTGTTCCTCGACATGAGGTCAGAGCAAAAGGCAGAAGTACATCAAGAAGAGGGGCCGTCATATTTTATAATTTGGTTGGATGAATTGCAAGCGAAGTTGCAAATACTCTAACTCACAATACCCTGCAACCTGTCACAAATTCTGAATTTATCATCCGATGGATAAGGAAGATTAGATCATCGTGAGCTGAGAACACTGCTCATGAAAATCGGTTCAGGAGAAAGATACGAGGATATCACGAACTTGTATGGAAAATTTCAAACGGAATACGACTAGTATAGGCTACCAATACCTCATTTGCTCAGCAAACCGACGGTAGTGAAAGTCATGTTTGCCCCGTCTGCCAAACTGACAAAGAAGTTGGACAATTCTATCTAGAGGAATTGCTGTTAATTAGCGAAGAGCAGGCAACTACCGGAAGAAATTAATGCTAGAATGAAGTATGACGGAACAAGAATTCTCTAGCTTCTGTGGCGTCGGAAAAAGAGCTCATAATGAATTCCAAGAAACCGCTACCGACAGACAGAAGACCGTTTAAGCGTAGAGTGAGATTCGTCTAAAAACAAACGATCTACGAATCTTGGCAAAGTACAGAAAGTAGCTAAAAATAGACCAAAGGAGCACATGTTCAGGATAATGAACGACTGACATTGTGGCGGCTCAGAATACAGCCTGGAGCTTGACGGATCAGCAGATAAATGAGAGAATAGACAATCCCCTGAAGCTGTTCATGGAGAAACTCGAAAGAAATGCAGATTGTATTAACGAATAGAAGGACAGACGGAGAAAGAATGAAGAACGATGGGTGAATACAAGAAATAATGAACAGATGAATGAACCAACGAGTGGGATCGATAGACAAAATAATGAATGGATGGAAACAGCTAAACTTTATTTATGCACAGTGCGAACAACTTGGTCAATCAAATGATTGTCCAGGTTCGACAATTCAGCTCATGTCCTCTTCCCTCAAAAAAATGAATTTTCCACTGAAAAAGAAAATAATCCTAGTCTATATTTTCTTGATGTCTTAATAATTAACTCTGCCATAAGAATAAGATCTGCCTTAAAATTAGTAACACTGAAAATTATCAAAACTGCATCTCACATTATCAATTAAATAATAAAAGATCTGGAGTTACAGCTTTAATAGACGGAGCCACAGCTATGCACACTATGCAGTAACGAATTTCTTACAAAATAAAAAATTCACCCATTAACCTTAAGTGGTAAGGGCATTTATACGGTTAAATTCGTTAATAACATAAATAATAACGTACGTTAAATTTACTTGTAAATTCAATACAAAAAATATTCTGAATAATAAGGCTTATTTAATTCTACCATATCAAAAAGACTAGTGAAAAGTTATAATGCTTACCCACTCTACATATTACACTAATGTTAGATATAAAAGCTCTAATAAATATAATGCGTAGGAGAATATTACGCAGGAAAAATATGAAACATCGTAACTCAAAGAACAAAGAACCACCTGTCAATCTAGAGAACATGACGACCCCAGACGAGCGTTGGCGATAAGTGATAATGGAGTAGTGAGAAGAAACCAAAGCCTCGCGCCCAATAAAATCAAGAAACAATGCGAAAAGACTTCTGGGATTGGCAGCACGTGACACAGGAAGGACATGATTCATCCACTCTCCGATGGTCAGGGTGTACCGGTATTCAATCATCCGATTGACCAAATTGCTTGCGCAGTGTAAAAATACACGTAATTTCTAGTTTGTTCAGTATCCTCACCAATGCATGAACCAAATATTTAAGAGAGAATTAATTAATTACATAAGAAAAACAAGGCACCGTCTGGCATATGATCAACCAATTATCATGATATAAAAAGGACAAAGCATCTGATTGAACGCATGAGCAAATGAAACGATAGATTAAACGAACTCCGCCATGGCCGGTCCCAAGCCCGGATGAGAAAGGAGGAGGGTTGGAGACCGTGGCAAGTCTC